TGTATCGCTTAAGTTCCTCGGAAAGAATTTATACCGGAAATTAACAAACAAGCAGATATGTAACAGTATGTTTTTTATCAAATACATTTTTGGTGCGACGAAAAAAATAGACACAAAGTCAATAAAAATTAGAGATTTTAAATCTCGTGTGTTTCATAATGGATTGCTTTAAAGTCTGGTATGTGAAGTAAGGATCCAGTAGGGCACTCCCACTAAAAATATCGGATAGTTTGGATTACCAAAATCAGATATACAGAAAGTGGAAAACGGCTAAACTAGCTCTCCTGTTAATAACAGTTTCTCGTGTGGGTTGTTTTGGTCGCACAATCACTACTGTATGTCTTGATTTACGCATTGCTATGCCTCTTGCAAGAATATACATTAGTTGACAGCGTTAATAACTTCCCATAGAGTAACGCCATGGAAACTCGATTAACAGTTTCTTGTCATCACTGCATATACTTGGTAAAGCCGTATCAAGCATCATTATTTACGCTCATTGCTTAAGCTAACATCAAGTGACGAATAATGCTCTTTAATCAGTAAAACTTCATAAAATTTAGCAAATTGGTACTCAAAAGTTGACAATTAATAAAGATTAATAACCGTCCACCTATACGATTCTTTGAAAACTTGAGCTAGAAAATGTGAATCTAGTTTGCTAGGCCTAACCAATATCTGCACGTGCTTTCACGATATTGTAGTTTTTCTGCTCAAAATCGGCCGTCATCCGAACAACAAAAAACCATAAACAGTTCACTTTTAATCTTAAGGGAAATTGTGATAAAAATTTTAGAATGATAGCTCATGTAACTTTTTTCGTGGGCGTGCGGAAAATTTTGTTTCTTCTAAATTTAACTTTTTTTTTTCTTTAATAAATTCGCACATGTGGCTCATATTGAAACCCAATTTGACACCTATTTGTAGATTATAAACATCTATCAGTGTACCTAATTTGAAGAAAATATATCAAAGTTAAGTATGATTTTTATGAAATAAATTTTCGATGCGAATAAAAAAAAATAGGAAGAAATTCAATCAAAATTGGAGATTTTATATCTCGTATGTTTCTTAATAAATTGCCTTGAAATTTGGTATGTAAAGTAAGGGTCGACTAGAGCACTTCCAATGAAAACATGGGATAGTTTGGATTACCAAAGTCCGAACTACAGAAAGTGGAATATTGCTAAACTACCACTCCTGTTAATAAAAATTTTTCATGTGGGTTGTTTTGGCCTCACAACACACAACCGTGTGTCTTGATCCATTAACTACCTGAGGTTCTAAGTCAATTAAAATTTTACTTTGATGTAAAATTTATTGTATGTAGAAAATAAACAAATATTCCAGTAGCAGAACACTTGAAAAAGTCTCTAGCTATAACTTAACATAGTAAGTCTTATCTAAGGGTCCTTAATGGCTATCTAAAGATGTAAAAACATAACTCCTTTGACACACATTTTCAGATAATGGTCTGTGTATATTTTATTTTGTAAATAAAAAAAAAACACCCACAAATATACAACTTGCATATAAGTTTACTAGGGTGAAAAAGTTGATAAAAAATATTGATTTACTGTAATATTTTTGTTTACAAAAATAGCAAAAGCTTTACATCAGTTTTTCTGATTTGCTATTTTTTCATGCAAAACTTTAGTCTAAAAAAAAAATCAGTGAAAAGTAATAGTGAATATTGAAGTTTTTAACTTGTAATAAAATATTCTAATCAAAAAGATCCATAATGGACTATGACTTTTTATCAAATGATCACCTCAAAAGTGATAAAAACAAACAAAGGTAAAAAATAAAATAATGCAATGAATTTTTTGAATAACAAAAAAGTACAATAATTAAAACAACCAAACAAAAACTGAGGCAGTGTTGTTCAGACATAAAACACCGAGACACACGAAGTAGTCACGCTTTTTCCTTGACTGGGTATTTTCTAATGAAAGCATCAACATCAAACTTTCTCTTACACCCTTGGTAGTTCATGTAACGTATTTTCCCGAACACAGGTCTCTCAGCCCATCCTTGGTCATGGATCCCACATATGGACCACATGCAACCTAGTGCAACAAAGATATACGTGACTGTCAATTCAAACTAACACTAACAATATATAAAAGCATGTTTATTCAAATCTCATTGAATCATTGTTTTGCAATAATTCTGAAATAATCATACTTACACAAAAACTACTTTGTGTTCAAATTAATACAAAATAAGATAAATGGGCAACATTTTATTGCATAAATTAACATCAACATTTATTAACATGGACATGTTTTAAAATAAATTTTAATGATTTTTAAAACAATTAAGTTGTTATATTTTTATAACATTAAAAAACAGATTTTGTTAAAAAAGATGGCCACAAAGATTAATAAAATTTTTTTAAACCACAGCCAGCAACACAGATATTAATTAACCTCTGAAAACTCAAATTTTTGTCCAATATATGACTTGAATATTGCTAAAAAAAGTCTTAGTACTTTATTACTGATTAAAATTTTACTTGGTTACACACTGACATCTTAGTTATCACTGCCATTTTAATGTTTATTATAGCCTTAAATCATATTAAGTTATTGCCTACTAATGTACTGGATTTTTCAATAACACCCTAGTTACTTATCACCTGATATTTTACTTAATTAGTGCAAAGCAGTTTGCTTATTTAGCACTGAAAATTATTTGGTAAGCATTTAGCATTTTACTTGGGTATTACCTAAAATTTAACTTAGTAATTGCCTTCTATTTTACTTGGATATTGCCAGATATTTTATGTAGTTCATGTCTAACATTAATCCTACTTAGTTATATATGACATCATAAAATGGTATTACCTGATATATTAATTAATTATTGATGGACATTTTCTAATTGTTACATATCATTTTGTTTGATTACTGTCTGATAATACATTTAGTTGTTGTCTAACCTTTTGCTTTGTTACATGTAATCTTACTCGTTTATTGCCTGATATTCTACTTGATTATATTCTGATGTCTCATTTATATACAACTCATCAATTGGCTTAAATTTTTGCCTAACATTTTATTTACATGCTCTGTTACATGTAACCTTACTTGTTTATTGCCTGATATTCTACTTCATGACATTTGATATCTCCTTTATTTACAATACATAAATTGGTCTAAATTTGCCTAACATTATGTTTGGCTATAACCACCATTTTAAGTATTTATCACTTGAGAATTTTCTACATTATTGCAAAATAACTTATTAGGTTATTTCCAGAGATATTACTCAGTTATTTCCTGACATTTTCCTTATTTATTGCCCGATGTTTTTACTTTGTCACTTCTTAATATTTTACTGCCTAATAACTTACTTCGTTACTGCCTTAAATGTTAATGGGACAAATATTTTATTTGATTATATCCTAGCATTTTATTTTTGCTTTTCAAATGTACATTGGTTATTTTTTGACACATTCCTTGGCGACTGCTCAACATTTTGTATAGTTGCTCCTTCATTATTGTTGGAGTATGAAATATTATGAAGGTATTTCTTGAAATCTTGATTAGCCTAAAATAAAGTTTATAACCAGTATCAATGCTATAATCAATAATTTAATTAATTCAGATTTTATTACATATTTGAATTTTAAGTTGATACAAAAATACCAAAGACATCCTACCAACATAGCCATTTGGATCCCTTCCATCAAGTTCATACTTGTCATTTAAGTATATTGCTATCTCAAGGGCTTCTTCTGGGCTTTTACTCCATTCTAAAATCTTTTTGGCCCAGTACATCCTCAGAAATCCATGCATCTTCCCTTCACGCACCATTTGAAACTGATATGAGCAAAATATATTTAAATACCTTTATTGTCATCAATGACCAAAATGAGATATAAAACAAAAGTATTAAATGAAACATCCAAAAAATAACATTTTAAAGCTTTTAAAGAACTCTACTGTTCAATAGTTGTAAAATATCATTATATTCAGTGATTTTATTTTATGAGGAAACACTATATACTCACATATTCACGTTATAAATTTACCATAATACCAAGGGTTCTTTTAATAAACAGGCTAGTTAAATGCTCATATAAAATTCTTTCCAATTCATGTTATTCTAAATACAATTTAATGTGTAGAAACAAAATAGCACACAATCAGAAAAAAAAATAATATATATATATATATATATATATACTGTGAAGATTTTGACAAGATTAATGGCTCAGTTCTACCTGGGCTGCATTCCATAATGGGTCATGTGTTTGTCCCTTTTCAAACTGTTCTTTGTTGTAGATGTATTCCCTCTTATCTTTGGCATGAAGTTTCAAAGATGTCTTTGCCCAATCATAAGCACCTAAAATAACATTGCAATAAAGAATTTCTTTCTTAAGTAAATTTAGTCTGTAACTAAAGTGTTGTCATTGTCATGGTTAGTAGCCTATATGAGTACCTAAGTGTAATTATTAACTAGTAACTATAAACTTAAGTGATCATACAAGCTACTAACCATGACAGCAATTGAAATATGATCACCACAATCTCGCTGTAAATACTTAAGGCAATAATTACTGTGCTACTAACTTGAAAATACTTCTGGAAACTGAGATATAGGTACAGGGGTCCTCGTTATATGTCGGAGTTAGGGACCAGAAAGTTACAACTTACAACAAAACGATGTATAACGGGGAATTTTCCCCCATAAGAATAATGGGATATGGGGGATATAGACCATACAAATGGAGCAATTTCTCCTATAAGAAACAATGAAATATGGTATTGAATAGGGACCATAACTTAAGAAAATGTTGTGTTTTATACCTAGCAACTAAAGTATGTACCTATACTGTACTATACTATACAACACATAATATACACATATTTATAACTAATTCTGAGTTCTAGGACCTTTCAACAGCATTTATATTTACCAAACACTTCATTGAAAACCATTTTTATGAGTGTTTTGAAGCAGCTCTGTACACGTTAAAACATTTTCCTTTTTTAATATAAAACATATTTGTGACATTTTTAAGCAATGACTCAAACAGAAAACCGTTTTTAGTGTAAAAAAATCACAGAATATTAAACATCATTTTAAAAAGATTTTACCATAACCTTTAATTTTTATGTTCTTATCTTGGGGAGTGTATGCATTGTGCTTTATTTGCTTGGTTGAGGTTGTTGGGAGAGGATTAGGTGGAGGATGAGAATGGAGATGAAGCTGTAAGATCATCAACATCACTGACATCTACAGTTTTTATCTCTATAGAAGACGTAGTCTCAGGATTTTCCTTCACTTGAGTGCCAGAAGGGCCTGCTTTGGGTTCTTTGGGTGTTTTTTAAATAGAGTGCAGGGTTGTCTGCTTTCCTACTTGCATGTTATTC